GATTTCTCAAACCTGATTTATGGGAATCTTCAACTTAAATAATTTTCACAGTCCCAATCATAATTCCCTCGGCATCTAGATCAGACATGTCTGATTCATACTCCAAGGCACCAGGTTCCAATTCATCAAGCCTCGTGACATGTTGTTGATTAGTCATACTTTTAGATATATGAGAAGGACTTCCATCGAAACCACTACTCTCCCTTAGCTAAACTACAGTAGGTTGTTCAAATTAGGGAGAACCTCTATCCTGACCATCAGCCTTCCCTTCTGTGACACAATCCTCATGAGTTACTTCAGACTCCTGAGACAGATGTTTGATCATCTAATTTGACATCTTGGTAGACCTTTCTTCAACCATTACAACTTTATCAATCCTGAGGTCTTGCAAACTCTTGATGTCTTCCTTCTTTTGCATAAGAACCTTTTTACCTTTGACACAATGTTAAATGAATTTCGTATTAAACCTCTGATCTCCCTGTTGGTTCATATTAGTAGATGACTCTCTTCTAAGTGGAACCTCTTATGGAACTAGAATAACCAATATCTTTGAGCCTTTAATTATTCCCTTTGCATGATTCCCGTGAGTTTTCTTATCTCTAGCCATGTGCATGGTACCCTCACTATTAAAATGCCATTTTTTACTCGAACAACCTTTGTGTTTTATGGAGACAGTTGAAGCAGTATTGGGATTCCACTTTTTCTAGCATGAACTTTTTGCGCCCTCTGATGTTTAACTTCAACCATTCGAAGAAATAAGGCCTGGTATGTTCATATTTTCCACAATGTTGACATATCAGATGTTGTCTCTTGCTCTTTCTATGATGGGATTCCACATGTTAAGCACGAGGTTGCGAGTTTGTAACCTCTATCATTCCTTTCTCCTGTGAGGCAGTCTTCATCTCTTTCATACCTTCAACCTCTATCATTCCATCAAACAAGTTTGAACTCTTTTTCAAATTTCTTCCAGTTTGAATCAAGATTCTAATATTTGAGTTTAATGATGACACCTGGTTTTCTAAAATTGTGGCAGTAGAAACACTGTCTTCTGATTTCTTTTGAAGTGTGTTTATGGTTTTCTTTAGGTTATCTGAGGATAAGCGTGATTTCTCTCACTTGGTGAGAACAAGATTGTATCCTGCCATAAGTTCTTCTCTAGTCAGTTTTTTAAAGTTGAACTCATTTCCAGATTCATCTCTTTGAGAATAGGCCATCACAATGTCGGCAGTTTCTCCCTCACCTTCACTATCAGAGTCATGCCAAGTGATGGTTAATCCTTTTTTCTATTTCCTTATGAAATTAGGGCATTTTGGTCTAATGTGTCCATAGCCTCCGTATTCAAAGCACTCAGTACCCTTCCTACTATTGTGTTCTTCTTCATTTTTGTCTTTGTCTTGTGGATTGATGTTGGACCTCTTTCGTGGGACATTGGTCATCCACTTCCTATCCCAATACTTCAAGGTTTTGTTGATTTTTCCAAGAAGAGTTATATCATCCACCAAGCTCTCTTCTTTGACACCTAGACTTCCAACTTCCTCAGTGTTGGATACAAAGGCTGAACTTTCAACTACACAATGACTTTCTATTTGGAGTCTCCTCTTAAATATGAGAACCAACTCACTTTCATTTCTACCACAAAATCAGTGACATGGGCAAACAACAATTAAACCATAGTGATAAATTTCAATCTTAACAAGATGAAAGAATGTTGAAAATTACAATTCAACTAGACAAACTGTTTATGCCAAGTTACTGAAACACAAAGGTGAACATTCCAAGGTTGATTACAACTCAACTAGATAAACATTCAATGTCAAGTTACAGAAACATAGAGGTGTACATAAAGATTCTACACTAATCTTATCAGGGCATTAACGTTGAATACACAACACAAAACCTAACACTCTAAGATCTTGAATGGGAGTGATTGCTTTCAAATATAAGTTTGAGCTTCTTATATATCAAAGTATGAGATTTTCTCCTCGAATAATATCTTTGAATTCTTTCAGATTTAATGCAAATTTGTTTGATATTTGATTTACTCCTTTAAAATCTCCAACAAAATATAATTTATTTTAATTTAAATTCAAATTTAAATTTTTATCTGCTTCTTGAATATCTGTTTGTGATAAATTCACAGAACATTTTTCAAAATCATTATTCAACTTTTTTTACTTTTTCATATAAAAAGTTAAATGTATATTCAAACCAAAATAAAACAAAAGCGTTGAAAATGAATTGTCTTGAGGTTTATTTCAAAGTTGATTTTTGGAAAGTTTTAGAAAGAAAGATTTTAGAGTTGCGTCTACATTATCATGTGTTTGATATTTAATATTAATATATTATATTATTTTTTTTAAATATCAGATACATTTTAAAATATAGAGACAATTTTTTAAAAAAAATTCTTCAAAAACCAACTTTCAAATAGACTCTTAAATATGGAAAGGATAGTTTATTCAAACTAAAACAAAACAAAAGCAAAAGCAAAATATATATATATATATATATATATATATATATATATATATATATATATATATATATATATATATATATATATATATATATATATATATATATATATATATATATATATATATATATATATATATATATTTGAGAAAATAGAATATAACATGTATGTAGTCCCAATTTTGTTTAATTTGGTCGGTTCTCAATTAAGACTGAGAAATGTATGTACCAATTTCTCTAACTTCGTGCCGAAAATATAAATTGGGGCTTATGCATGCTATAAAATTTTTTTCTTTTCTAATTTGGTCAAATATGCAATTCCAATCCCAATTAAGACAGAGACGTTAACGAGAAATTTAAAAGTTGGTGGCTAGGGAGAAGTAGGTCAAAAATTAGTACAGCTGAGTTGAAAGAATTTGTTTTTTTATTTTCAATAGCTCGAATTAAATAGATTAAAAGATAATAAAATATTTATTAAAAAAATTAAAAGTCAAATAGTTTAAAATAGATACGATTATCAATTTTTAAAAAATTTCAAAGAATTTCTTTCATTTCTTTTAAAGCAAAACCAGATAAAATAAAGTATAAACTCATTAGGAAAATGGAAAATATAATCTTAATTCTCATTCATTGATCAAGTGAGTATTTTTAATACTCTGAGTCATTTATTTTTTAATTTTTATTATCTAATAAACCTATTGTACTTTGCAATAGAAAAAAAGTGAGTATGTAGTATCTATACAAGAGGTTGTTTATCACTAGTAGCTTAGGATACAAGGATTTCTCCTAGTCAATTTAGACATTACGGTCACTAATTGTAACAGACTTAATTAACTTTAACTAACTTTTTAGATCAGAATTTATAGTTAAGAATTAGGTAAAAGCCTCCCACAAGTTGAATTTTGGTAAATGTTGAGTAAGTTTAACATGGACATTAATGCATGGAAAGGTTTAGGAAGTAGTGCTTTGGTAAATAAAAGTCAGCAAGTTGATTGTTGGGTGAGACAGGAATGTGCTTCATAACACCAACAAAGAATTTTGTGCATACAATGTGACAATTGAAGCTATATGAAGAGCACTTTGGCCACAAAAGAGAACCAGTGGCTTGGAACAATGAATGTACGGATCATTCGGCAAGTAAAGAATTCAGTGGATTTCACATGTTGCTGCAGCCAAAGCTTGATACTCAACTTTAGAGAAAGAACGCTATACAGTATTTTGCTTTAGTTCTCCATGAAATGAGAGAAGATCCTATATAAAAGCATGAGCCACATATATATCTTCTAGTGTTTAAGAAACTTGCCCATTATGCATTGGAGAAGTCTGTTAGATGAATAGATGAATTTCTAGAAAGTTTATGATATTCTAGAAAACTAATCATCAGCATGATAAAAAACGCTCAGAGCCTAGTTTTTATCAATGAGAAATATTATTTCCTAGTTAATAAACTTAACAACACAACTATCCAAATTAACAAACTTTGGGGAGAGGAATAGATTTCGAGCGGTAAATAAAGTAAAAGAAACATTTGAGAAAAGGTTTCTAGCACATATAGTGAAACTAATAACAGCAACTATCCAAATTAGAAGTAAGGGTGTAGTCCAACGGTGACAGTTCAATCGTTTTTTGAAAATACAAGCGACTCAAATGCACCAGAGTGACCTAGAGACAAACATCTCAATGATAAAAAAAATGTATTTAATGTACCTTCTTCCTACGACTTTTACAACTACCTTGTGGCTTTTCCACTTCCCTCAACGATTGGCTTCGGTAACAAGATGACAGCCTCAACTTGAAAAGACTTCCTGGATAATAAAATATCCGACAATCCGTGGGAACAACTGTTTTGAACCAGCCAAATACTAATACAGATGAGATCGATGTGTTCAACGCAACAATGCAAACTCCAATCGTATATAATTACTCACGACATTCAAGTGTCATAGATTTGCAAATTCATCATATCTTTCTACCTTTTCCTTTGCATCGGATCAGCTTAATTTATTGTAGTTACTAAAGATTTTTTCTCTAAATAAAAATATATAAAACTATAAAAAAAAAAAAATTTTAAACTGTAACAAATGGACATGAATGAATACATTCAAATAAATTACATGATTAACAACTTCAGTTCAACAGCATTAACAGAGGTGTACAAATTAAATTGGGTGAAATGGAGAATGACAGTGAAAATTGAAATTCCTTCCTATTTCTTCTATATATCTTCCTTTGTCAACTAAAATGTCCATGTTCAACCAAAAATAACTAACAGAAAACACAATTGCAAAATATCACTGATCTCCATTGCTATGTTGTACAATTCATGCTCCTAGGTGAGGAGGTATGGCATAAATGACCAAAACAAGTCACAGATTAAAACTTCTACACAGCACTCTATTTTAAGTTGCTGAGATAAGAAGTCGTGGCGACGATATTCTTCCATTACCTTACAGGGATAGTCATAGAAAGTGAAGAGAGTGAATGTACAAGGTCAATATTGAAAGTTCCAAAAATCATCATCTCTTTCACCACCAATCTGAGATTTTTAACCTTCGGTTCCTATGAATAGAGAGAGTAACCCTTGGAAGCTTGTGTTTGACCTGTCTCCAAAGCATATTAACAGCATCCTCTTTTTCTGGAGGGTACTGGAATTCATAATGATGTGAGATGTTTTTAAGCTGCCTCCACATTTCAGTCCACTTCTGCTTTGGAAATTTACGAAGCTGGTCGACCATGTATCCGGGCTGTAATGCTTCTTTGAAAGAGAAGAACAGAGAGAACTGGGAATAATCAATCTCATCCTCAAACGGGAGTTCGATTTTATCACTCACAATGACAGGAACACAATGACTCACAATTGCATCAAAAAGGCGGCAAGATGATGCTGTGTCTCCTGCTGGATGCAAACAGAACTTTGATGAACGCATCCCTTTAGATGACTGTTATATCAGAAGCAGTAAATAAATGAATACTACAGTTCATGATCTTAGTAGATAACATAAGGGGAAGAACAGAAGAAAAATAATTCAAATCAGTTTTTGACTATAGGACTCTTCTCCCTCAGGAAAGATAGTAACTGATATTACAAAAAGGAAATTTTGGGGTCTTCGCACCCTTAAAATGGAGCAGTTTTTATTCAAGGCAATAAACCAGTGTTTATAGTGAGAAATGAGAAGGAAAAAAAATCTAGAACTAGTACTGTTTCACCAGAAAGATTTTTCCTTTGCATATGGAATCTATCCTGCATCTTACCAGCTGAAAATAAGGAGGAAAAAAAACCTTACGGAGACAATTCATTTTAACTATAAAGAACAAATGCATCTCAATGTTCAAATACTCAAGAGACTATGCATGGGAAAATACTGGCGAGACTACAGATCTAAATTATCCTAAAACTTATTTTAAACTTTTTAAAGGGATCCTCCCCATCCCCTTTGTCAACTGACAAGGAAGAGGAAGAGAAATAATTGTAAAAGTCAACCTTTCAACTTTAGGAAACGATTAGCAATAACATTCCAAGTACAAGCAGAAAAGCGGCATGAACTAAAGATCAATTATATAGCTATGTTGCATACCGCTTTTATGTTTTCTTCAGTTGCAACACTTCGTTCATAGTGAACATCACTATAACTACTTAATATCTTTGCCAGTTTAGCACGGACAATACCTTCCTGCACACCCCATAAACCTCACAAAATCACATTTCGTGGAAATTTTAAAAAGGAAAAGCTTCTCTAAAGTAACATTGTCTCTAAAATGAGCAAGTGTGTATCCACCTGAATCTTGGTGAGTTGAGATCACAACGCAATTCAATTTTTATTAATAAAAGTTGGATACACTTTACTTGCCAACTGTTAAAGACAAACTTACTTTAGAAGAGTCTTGGTCTTTTAAGAAACATGTCATTCTTTTATAAACAGTCAGCCAGACATACATCCTTCCTGAAAGTCCTCCCTCGAAAGAAAAGCAGTGTGGAGCGAGCCTCGTACGGATCTTGAAGTTCATCATCTGTAAAAGAATCCACAACATGAACATACGGGGTCACCACATCTTTGTTCAAATTAGACATGCTCTTGGGATAGCGGCCAAAATCCACAACAATTTGAATAGTAGCATTCACTTGATTCCGTAGGAACCTAAAGGCATTGGGGTGTGTCATAGGAATTATGTGGTCTCTGCCTTTAGATCTCTGCCAATATTTGGACTTGTTCAAGATTTCCATCAGATCAACCTAACACCAGAAACAAGCCCAGTATAACATCAAAAGAGAAACAAAAATGCTATATAGTTAAAGGCATCAGGTATTAGTAACGACTCCATGCACTTGTTAAAAAATCACAATGCAGGTTTGGCAGGATACTATATAAAATCAACTTCTAGAACCTTTTAAAACATAAAGCAAACAATCATTCTAATTTCTAATGCATCATAAGGGGTAATTTCTATTAAACGAAAAAATATTCTAACCATTACACCTGACACCGGATCACGCAATTCCTTTATATTAATTCAGGGACATCTTGGATTAACCAAACTACCTTCATTATCAGTATCTTCATGTTTCTTAGACTACTAAGGTACTACTCTCCTCATAAAGATTCAATCATTAAAAATATACAAGTTTTCCTTTTTCTTTACTTTTTGAGAGTTCTGACTTTCGTAATTTTATTTCAGGAACTCATCCTTTATCTCGTATCTACGAAGAACTCAGCCAACTATGTTTACTAATAAGTTATTATGAGGATATGACTTACGCACAATTCTTATTTGGAAGAATCATTTTGTGACATTTAATATCAGGTTTTCCAAAATTGGAAAGCGAAAACCCCTTTCTTTATCTTTAATTGTGTGCAAATACTTTAGCCGGATGAGAGGAAAACCTCGTGTCCGATTTTAAAGGGGGCATATTGGATCCTATCCAAATTATTCTTTTGCTAGGCCCGTAGTTAAAAAACCAACTTTCTTACCATTAGGATGTTCATTCGAATATGAAATCCAATCCTGGAAAGACAGGATCCCACACTTCGTTGCTAGAATGGAAAGAATTAGAAAAAGAGGGGTCCAATGACAAATGGAAAAATCAAAAAGTTCGAAGAAGTTTCGACGCATGGAATTAGCTAAGCATTTTCTCCTAAAAAATATAGAACCAGAATGGATGGTTTTATGTCTCTTACCAGTTCTTCCTCCCGAATTGAGACCAATTATTCAAATAGATGGCGGTAAACTAATGAGTTCGGATATTAATAAACTCTATAAAATAGTTATCTTTCGGAACAATACTCTTATTGAGCTATTAAGAACAAGTAGATTTACACCAGCGGAATTAGTAATGTCTCAAGAAAAATTGGTACAAGAAGTCGTGGATGCACTTCTTGATAATGGAATCCGCGGACAACCGATGAGGAACCGTCATAAGAAAGTTTACAAATCGTTTTCCGATATAATTTCGGGCAAAGAGGGAAGATTTCGAGAGACTCTTCTTGGAAAACGAATTGATTATTCGGGGTGTTCTGTTATTGTCGTAGGTCCATTACTTTCATTACATCGATGTGGATTGCCCCCCGAAATAGCAATAGAGCTATACAGAGGCGCACACACACCCTTAAGGTGTGACACCTATATCTATATTCCACACTTTAATACCTCCTTATCGACTTAAGTATCAAATTGTCTTTTGAGAGTATTTCTCACTATTTCCAACACTTGGGATTATCAACAAGAGTATATCAAGACACATTGTACACCCATTCGAAGTTTGGAACTTCGGTCCTAATTTCTACTCCCTCCATTCTTTATTATAAGCAAAAATTTAATTTTTAGGTTCATTGAACAACGGATGTATCTTGTCTATCTATATATAGTTTAAATACATCAGTTAACCAATAAATCTAAAAGTCAATTTTTGTTTATAATAAGTAATGGAGGAAGTACTTAAGAACATTGGCATAATCTTTGTAAACTTGATGAAGTCCTAATGCTATCATCATGGTCAACACAAGGAAGACCAACAAAAACACCAAGAAATGCAACAAAGCAATAATGGCATAACTCATGAGCCTCTGAGAGACTACATAGTCTAACTTACCAAAGAATAGTAGAGCTCCCTCTAGTATGGTCTACTTCCTAGTACATTCACCATCCCTTTAGCCAAATGAACGGCTAATTCCATGGATGAATTCCTCATCAAACTTTAAGGGATTTGAGAACTTCAAGAAGAGACTTTCACATTTATTTCATGATAAGAAAATTATGTTTTATATATAGGGAATGAAGTTTTATGTTTTGTATATAGGGAAAAGAAGTGGTTGAAATAATTACCCTTCAGCATTATTTTAGACCAAACTATTTAGTACATTAATCTTTGTCGAGATTTTTAGTTATTACAAAAAACCAAATGATGAATAGGAGGGACAGAAGGCAAGTCGCACAAATTATTCAAATAGAACCTCTTAAGATCCCCACATGATTTTAAGACAATGTTTTATGGTTTTGAGTAATCGCAACCCCTTCATGTTCCAAGTCATTCATTATACAACCTCTTGCAATTCTACGAAATAACCCAATTCAGAAGGCTAACAAATGGACCATCACTTCAGTTCAAGGTTTGGACATTGTATAGTTCAACAAATAGTTAGCATAGCAATTTCACAGTCTAAGAGACACTTATGTCGACATCACACCACTATGGTTAGTAGATACATTGACTTTCAGTCATCTATTATGGTTAGTAGAGATCTCTTAGCTTAGCCAACTCAGCTTTATACCTCCAAGATTCTCAAACCATTAAAACCAAGTTTCCTCATAAAGATAAGACATTTATAACTTAAAAATAGACAACTTGTCCATTTATCTGAGATCCAACTGTCCAAATGTTCCTGGGGAAAACTCATATTCGTATACCATATGTATCTACAACTTGTCCATTTTTTAAATGTAGTATCTGGAGAAGTACTCCATACAGTACCTATGCTTCATAGTGTATATGGAACAACGATAGGCATGATTTAAAACTATTCAATCGGAAAACGGTATTTCCATTCAACTTTATGAATTGCAAACAACATAAAACACAAGAGGTTATCAATTTCTTGTGATTTTCGGTATCTATTGCTGTTTAAGGAACAAAATATAGCCGAGTAATGTAACAGCTAAATACTAAATCTGTAGCAACTATAGCAGAAACCAGAACTACTTGCATTGCAATTGAACGATTCAACTAACCAATTTCCATAAAATCAAACAACAACAAAGATCACTAACCTGCAATTTGCGATCAATCTCGGTATCAGGATCCGTCATAGTATGCCCATGCGTATTAAAACTCAACGAAGAGAAAAACGGAACAAAAAACGCGTCAGCAACTTCCGGATCCAAAACCCTAACAGCTTCTCTAGACTCACCACCATCATCGCCTTCATGAATAAGCGATCCCATCATCCAGTACTCAACGCTGTGTTGCCTCTTGAGCCCCCAATTTCCCGGCCACGGCGGGAAGTCGTTAGCAGTGACGGGAGACTCGGACGCGTTCCGGCGGTCAATCATTTGGACGTTGAAACGGGGAGGGAGATCGTACATGTAGACACGGAGTTTCGGGTCGGATTTACATGGAGCGGGTTGAAAGGTTGGTAGTTGGTTGAAATAAGATCGAATGTCGAGAGAGCCGATGAAGATTGAGTAGGAGATTAGGAGGAGGAAGAGGAAAATGATGGTGAGGATCACTTTTTCGTACATGGTGGTTCAATTCAAAACGGTTTTGGGAGTGTGGTTGTAATAGTGATGATGTTGAGGTTTGTATTTGGTGTTGGTTTCTTTGCGCTGTAATTAGGTGCGGTGTACATTTTCATTATCGTTGATGAGTAAGATTCGTCGTGTGTATATGGCTCTGTTTCGTTCATTTGCAGGAAACGCCGCTGAGGATATTATGGAGGACACGGTGTGCACTAGTTTTCAAGTTGAATGAGCTTAATAATTAGTATTAATCCATATCCAAAATAATTAATACAAATTAAAAAAAAAGTGTAATTAATTAATTTTTTTTTAAATGATGTTACTAGTTGGGCCTCATGTCTTTTGTAGAATTTTTTTTTAATGTAACTAGCTTTTTCAATTAAATTATCAAGTAAATTGATATTTTAAAAAATTATCAAAATAGTCAAAATTCAACTTTGGGTCGCCATATCAATTGCCCAAGGAACTCGCCGTATGGAATGGCGACAGTGTGTAAATGGAATGGGTTGAGTCGCCATTTAGTTTGGCTATTTAGTCCAATTACTTTTTTTTCTTTTAGGGTTTAAGAATTTAGTTAATTAAATTAAAATTAAGTTATTTAAAATATTTATATAAATTGAATTTTAAATAATTTATGTTTTTTAATTTTCATAATTAATTGAATTTTAAATAATGTAAAAAAAAGAAATGGAATAAATATTAAATTATGTTTTTTGTTTTTCATAATTAATTAAAATGTAAATAATGAAAAAAAATTAAATAAATATTAAATTATAGTTTATGTTTTTCATAATTAATTAAAATTTAAATAACATTAAAAAATATAGACATATAATAAATATTAAAATATATTAATGCTGCAATATAATGAAAATTACAATTGAACAAAAAAAAACTAATGGTCGACTATATCCAAGCGACCACCGGTGCCACATTGTAGAGGATGCGCGTTGCGACGAGGTCTACAACGAGGTTGTTGTGGTGTGTCTGGTATTTGTGTGTTGAGTTGTGGAGGAGGATTTTGTTGGGACGGCCCCGACGTATCAGATAAATTTTGAAGCATTTGACCCCAATAGTCGGGAGGTCCACTATCAACAGCGCTTCCGTAGTTAAGCCCAATGCCTATGTTTTCGTAGGATTGTCGGGGAGGTTGGGTGGAGTATGGACGGTATGGTTGTCCGAATTCGTACATCGAATTGGGATGGAAATGGTGTGTTAGTTGTTGTGGGGTTTGGTAGTCAAACAATGGATAATTGGAAGGGGTAGGGTCAAATGAGTTATCTAGGCTATAGGTGGAGGGGTAGGGTCAAAAGGCGTATCAGAGCTATATTGGTATGGTGGTTGATGTTGTGACTGGGTGGGTGGCATGTATGAGTCATGGTAAGGATGTTGTTGTTGATGTTGGGCATTTGGTGGCATGTATGGGTTATGGTAAGGCTGATGTTGGGCATTGGACTGTTGTTATGTGTTTGATGAAGAAACGCGTTGCCTTGGGTCAATCAAATAGGTTGACTCAAACAGAATTGGCTGAGATGTTGTGACCGACCTAAACCAAGTCATATGTTGATAACTTGGCCTAGCCCCTTCCACAATTTAGTCGGTTAAGATGTGTTGCCTTCTATTCTTCCAATGTTGACACATCTCCTTCGCAAACTCCTTCCAATGACTGACACTCCACTGTGAGTCCACCCGTTGTTGATGCCACTGCCCCAATGATATCTGAGCATCTGGAATATCCTGATGCATCCCAAATTGTAGCTTCACCCTATCACTTTGGTGCATCTTCACCGTAGTGAACCTAATGATTGGTGTTCTTGATGTCCACACAGCAGCATCATTGGGGTCGGGCTGGTGGTCGAGACCCTCGTACGGCATCCAGACAAACTACAATAAAGGTGGATACATTTAGTCAGACAAAGATAGACAAGTTTATGCATATAAGGTAGACAAATTAAAGGTAGATAACTTACATCATCTGGGCCAAGGTGGTCGATGAGGTTCTGGTACACAATTAAAGAGTGCCTGGGGCATCTCTGATAATTCATCCCTGGAACAGACCACCTAAAAAATAGAAACACATAAGTTTGCATCTAAAACACATCTCACAAATTATTAACTTACAAAGAAAATTTGGTTGCTAAATAGACTTGAAAAGAAACTTACTTATTGGCGTACAGGAATGTAAACGGATTCCGGTTTACTGGAACAAGCGTTGGCATCCTAGACCAACCCCACGCTTGTAGGAGATAGGCGCATCCATAAAAAGTACATGAATTTTTTTTTGGAATTTTTACACAGTGCACTATACAGATGGGCGAGGACAGCTGATCCTCAACTATATTCGCACACTTTGTTTATGTTTTGTAGCAATGATAAATACATAATATTTACGCTATTTCCAGTGCCCTCTGGAAATAAAAAGTGATCAAACAAAATCATAATATAGCATCGTGTTTTAACTATTTTCTCATAGTCAGTGCTATCCTCACTTAAGACAATACTGTTGTATTGTTGTCTGAGGTATTTAAGATTTATTCCCTAACCCCTCGAGCGACCCTCGCGTTCTGCCTGAGTTATGTCCACACAAAGAGGGGGCCCCAATAAATCTTCGCAAAGTTGGTCGTTAACACCAACTTTGTCGTTGACGGCCTTACCATTGATGTGTAGGCCGAGCAACATGTAGACATCTTGAAGAGTCACAGTGCACTCACCAAAAGGTAGGTGAAATGTATGTGTCTCCAGTCTCCAGCATTCTAAAAACGCTAGAATGAACTTCGCATCGAGCGAGTATGATTTGATTTTAATCAAATCACCAAACCCACAATGACGAAGGTATCCCTCTATGAGGGGGTCGTGTGGTATGTAATCATTCACACGAGAGTGCATACAACAATCGAGAGGGGGGTTGGAGTTTTTTCTTAAAAAATCTCCGCTTTTACGTGTCTCCCCAATCTAACTTATGTTTGATCTCTGATCGAAACCCATCAATCGAGAGTGCATACAACAACCTTGATAATGGTTGGCAGGATCCTCCCTCGACCCATGTGTATTGCATAAGACATATCGCCCAAAATTTCATGCGGGAAATCAAAGACAAAATGCTACGGAAGAAGGTTGTGAACGCAGGATATGCATTAACAGAACCCACATTCAAATATTATCATGACGAGATCAGACTAACAAATGCGGATACATTAAGATGGATTGATAACATTGATAAAGAGAAATGGACACGGGCATACGACAATGGGGTGCGATGGGGCCACATGACAACTAACCTCGTTGAATCAATGAATTTTGTTTTCAAGGGAATCCAAAAACCTACCAATAACTGCCTTGGTAAAGGCAACATATTTTAGGCTAGGCACACTCTTTGATAGCATACGTACGAAGTTGGGTTCAGTATTACAGTCGGGTCAGCTGTACAGTGATACTTCAATAAAATTCATGAAAGACGAAGCTGCCAAAGCCAACACACATGTGGTCACAATCTTTGACCGTAATAATGGTTGGTCCAGTGTTGCTGAGTCGATTGTTCATAACGAAGGAAGGCCTAGGGGATGTTACCATGTTGAACTAGATAAGAGCTGGTGTGATTGTGGGAAGTTTCAGGCATTCTGTATGCCTTGCGCTCATGTTATAGCAGCATGTTCGAAGGTGCGTCAGGACCCAACCAACCTTCTTTCTGCAGTTCACCAAGTGATAAGTCTATGCAATGTCTACACATGTAGCTTTCAGGTGGTGGCAAAGGAAGACTATTGGCCTTAATACGAAGGCGAAATTGTATGGCATAATGACTTGATGCGCAGAAAGAAAAAGGGTCGCCCTAACAACACGCGCATTCAAACAAAGATGGATACCGCAGACAAGATGGTAAGATTATGTAGTTCGTGTCAGCAACCAGGACACAATCGTACAAAATATCCTAACGTAGGATCAAGCAGCAGATCATAGTTTCATATGTAACTGTGTCCCTTTAAATCAATAGCAAATTTCATTCCATTTAAAGCATAGTTAACCGATTACAATTAGCAAGCAACAGAAATTAAACAAACATAACTTAATATCACAACAACATTCTGAAAATAACAACAACATAAAGACATAAAACAGAACAATGCACCAAGGCGTCTACGATATCACGACCATCAATGTTATCTTCTTTGGTGTTAACATCATCACAAGGACACCAGCATCATTTTCCACTTTTCTCCATTCACGAGTAACTCCGTTTCTCCCAGCCTCCTCAACCAACCTCTCAATTTTCCTAATCTTTTCTCCTGGAGCAATATCTCCTTCTAGCCAGCGGTTCAGTTCCCTATGCAAGTGCTCCAACGTCTACGTATTCCACGGGAGCACCTTCATCGGAGACTTTGTTGTTGGAAAAAAACTAGGGCATTTCTTTTCATTAGGTTGAATGTTGGAAAGGGTTCCTCCGATGCTGATGACGACGGCGAAGAATGTTGATTTAGAAATGCAGACATTCTAGACTCCACTCCACTCAAAATTGTTAACACTTCAGTCTTTTGGTATACAATGTTGTGGAAACATATATGTGTTTGCAGTCGTATTTATAGAAAAATAAAATATCACTTCCCCATATGATATGTCTTAAATACCCTTACAAAATTTATATACTTTAAAATTCAATGGTTAATCATATATTTATTATGTTTTAAAATGTATTTATAATTTAAAAACAATATTTATTAATTAAATCAATTTAAATCAATTTTTATTTTAAATCACTAATATATTTAAAATATATTTTAAAATTATATTACAATTAAATTTATTATTTTAAATTTAATAAAACCTAAATCAATTTAAGTTTATTTATATTTTTAAACTATATTTATTAATTTATAAAATGTATAATAAAATATTTTAATTAAAATGTATCAATTTGTATAAATATTTTAATTATACCTATTCATATTTATATAAATATTTTAAATAACTTAATTTTAATTTAATTATTTTTTTTATTATTTAAACTAAAA